TGACAGAATCAACTACAGGTTTGCAAGAGCATACCAGTGTCATAACTTATCTTTTGGCTCCACCGTCAAGTCTGATCACCCTAGCCCTTGCCAATGGTAATGTGACAAGAGCAGAACAAGTTGTCAAAATGTATAAAGTTGTGGATTCAACCGAAAAACGAGAAGTGTGCCTAACAAACAGACTAAGTCAGCTGCGTCCTAAATTATCCCTGACAAGCCAGAAGTCAGGCAAACTGAAGGAATCCAAAGGTGTGCAACACAAAGGCTACTCGAAAGACCTGATACAGAACATTGGTTTACTAGCCAGAGAAGGTTCTGCACAGGTGAGTACTACGAACTTGATTCACGACCTTGTGACATCAACTCCACCTCCAATACCTCAGTGTTTGTCAACAAAAGTGATAGAGGGTAGTTGCCAGATTGCATCATCCTTCCTGAGTCCCCAGGCACTTGTCTTGGCAGACCTAGCTCTCACAGTGGACTTGACAGAAACCACCGCTTCCTATTTGATGGAACAGGCTCTGCAGAGGTCGGTCTCTCAGCCCTCAGTTCCCTCTAGTCTACCTAAGACCATTGGAAATATCCAAGGTTACATCCCTGTACTGCAGAAGTTAGCATCAATGTGTAGCACACTAATTGCAGTTAGAACTTTAGAATCTGAAAGTGACTCAGACGGTGCAAATAAGAATCCTTCAGTAGACAGCTCTGCCTATGTCTGTCCATTCTCAGCTACCCCAATGTCACTTATGCTGTCTCCTCTGCCGCTTGGTGAGAGTGAACTGAAGAATTATGTGAAAGCCTGGTCTAAATTCTTAGACTGTTTTGCAGCAACTCAAGATACATTACTTTGGTTTGATGATAGCGACAATGTGGATAGCTCTATTAACATCCATATTCATTCAGGGAAAAACAGAGCACACATGTCTTACAAATTACTACTTCAGATTCTGAGTGAAAAAGCCAATCACTTGTATAGGAGCAGCATCAAAGAATGTCAGGAAGCCAAAATGGGAGCCTTTGTTAGAACATTTTATCAATATCTTCAGCTTATGTCGGCCATGGTTACTCTCCATGCAGATGAGAAGTACCATAACAACATGAAGAGCTACTTCTCCCTACTTAAGCAGAGACCTGTACACATTTTGGGTTCATTAATGTTCCAGGAAGGCGTCGACCCAGTCAAGTTAGAGCCAATAGCTGCTAGAATGAGACTGAATCTGACTGCAATGATTCTCCAGTATTGCTGTCCCAAGATCACAGTATCATATGAATTTTTGCACAGAAGAGGGCATGATACAGAAGTCCAGGATGCAGCCTCAAGACTTGGCTTTCAGGCCTCTCAAGGACAGGTTATTATGAATTCAAGAATAATAGAGGGTACCTCAGCTGTGTACGGAGAAGTGGTCGTGCGGGATATTTTAACGTCTCTGCTCAGTGGTTTAAAGGAGGCAATACAACCTCAAGCACTCACATTCACTCATTGCCACAAAGCAGTTATTCTGAATGATGCAACCGCCCCAAATGCATTACTGTTAACTGATATTCAAGAAGCATTAAATGATACCTCAGAGTTAGCTGCTATGGACTTCACAAAAATACCCCCAAATGAAGAAGCAGTTGTATTTTTTATAAATTTAGCAAATCTGATGTACATCCATGCAGGCTTACTAAACCACATACTGTATCCCAAGAGTAAATTGGGTGAGTCAAGAGGCATTTTCTCCAGCTATCTGATAGAACGCCTGATGGCAATGAAACATCTTGGTTACAACCTTGGCCAGCTAGGATTCCTCTCCTTGTACGATGTTCTGTTTGGTGTGCTACAGCTGCAGAATCCATTATCAAGTTTATTGATTCAAAATGAGGAGAATGTCAGAGTCAGCCTTTGTGAGAGCAGTGTGATAAAAAGCAGTTTGCAACATGATAATGCAGAGAAGTGGAAACATATCTCTGGGCTCATTACTGCTTTCCCTTCCAAACTAAGCTTTTGCATAACACAAGGAAATCCAGTCTCCCCATTAGTGCAAGTTATTTATGCAGATCGCCTTGAAGAGCACATTGAAGCAGCAGTGTCTGAACATTTAAATATGTTTTCTCTTGTGAAAGAAAGTCACTCAGGAAATGCAGATGGAGAAATAGACCATCCTCATGGAACCCAAAAGGTTAACTTGTGTGTGTCCAGGACAATACTGAACTATGTAGCAAGGCACTGTAATGGGACATTTGATGAAATACTTTCTCTGATGCAAGAAGTGAATGAGGAGGTGGCCAGTTTCTTTACCAAATCTGATGGGGGAATCTCCAGCAAAAAGCAGGTAGAGATAAGTGTTTTGGATAATAATGAGGATCAGGGTATTGCTGTAGATTATGTAGAACACCTAGTTAATCAAGAATTTGCCATGACACACAACATTTCCGAAAGCATTGTATCACCAGCAGCATCTGATGGACTGGACTGGACCTCAGTCAAGGTTCCACCTACGGTTTTGAGTCACCTAAGGAGACAGTGCCCCCTTCTTGCCTTCATAGTGCAGGCATTGCACAGTGCCTTGGAAATGAAACGACAGAAAGGCCATTCATGGGCAGATGATGAAGCTGATGCTTGGCACAAGATTCTGTACCCTCCTGAGAGAGGGGTAAAACCTCAGCAGGAAGAAACACACCACTTCCGGGCATGTAGAAATGTCTTCACCAACAGCAGGTATAAGGCCCTGGGAAGGATTAGCCAGGACAGCAATGTCTTATCAGCATTACTGATAGATCCAGATATCTCGTCCATATGGTCATTAGCGGACCAGCTATTAGGAAGCCAAACAATTACCAAGGATTGCACAACGGAACGGCAGTCTAATGTCAACAGCTTAATGACAGTTCTGCAAGCTTTACCTACGGCCACAATGGAGGCTCATCCCAACCTCCAGTCGCTTTTGGATCAGCTTCTGGTCTTCATGGTGCAAACTTCTGATGTTTCAGGTAAGTTGGTTGTCACTTTAGCTACAGATGAGTTTATTTTGGCTCAGTTTCTCCAATTCTGTTAGTGAGAGATCTGTTTCGTCCTTAATTATTATAAAAACTTGTAATTTAATTTTTAGAGTCACTGGAAGACTCAGCATCTGTTATTACAACATTAAACAGAAAGGAGAGAAATAGAAAATTAAAAGGCCCTTTGCTGGTCAATGAATATGATTTTATCCACTTTTTATCACTTTTAAACATAATTTTCCTGTGAGACTCATTTTCAACTGTTTCTCAGCTGATCCCAAACCATGGATGTATGCTTACCACATATCGGATTGCAACGTGAGATACACCGCAGTCCAGGAAGCACACAAGTAAGTCTTCGGCATTTCGTTTATCAAGCAGAGGTCCCTTACCTCTCAAGGATGATTAATAGCAATGGCGGTAATTAGGTAAAAGACAGAAAATCATTTTATCCTTGATTTGTCCTTTTTTTCTTTCTTTCTTTCTTTTTTCTTTTCTTTTTTTTTTCTTTTTTTTTCTTTTCTTTTCTTTTCTTTTCTTCTCTTTTTTTTTCTTCTTTTTTTTCTTTTCTTTTCTTTTCTTTTCTTAAGTTCCTTACTTTTCTCACTCATGGACTCGTATTACTTGGTTGTGTTGCTGTATATACATCTATGTAGTATATTAGGTGAAAGATGTTTTACTTTCTTTTTAGTTTTTTTTTTTCCCCCCCATTCTGTGCACACACAAAGAGCCAATTTTCCGTCTTTTTTTGGGAATAAGTTAACATATTTATTTCTGTTGACCATGTCAAACAACTATTTAGAGCAGCTATACTGCCCTTGATGTGATGGACTCTCATCCATGCATGAGGAGATTGAATGGATTATGATGCTTGATTTAGGTTATAAAAAAAATAAAAATAAAAAAAAATAAAAGGTTTTAAATGTGCATATATGCTTAGTAAATCACCATAAGTTATTCTTAACTTGTCAAGGGTACATTCTCAAATTTAGCTAATTTTCGTTCCACAACAAAGGGAGCTTATATGAAATTACCAAGATCCATTCCAAAGCTAGGAATTCTTTTTTACCTGCTTTTGGAATATATAGTCCTTTATTGTTTATCCTTCAGATGAGTAAATAGTGACACTCCTGTTAAGACCCATAGATAGATGCTATTATGTATTAGTATTTATACTTACTATACTTACTAAGATTTTGCATTACAGATCGTGGCCAGCCTCTGCAGCAGTCGATCACTTGAATATCATGGTTTATGATTCAAGACTCCCAAGGCCTAAGCAAGAATGGGCCCAGAACAAGGCAGTGCAAATTAGAGTCTATGAAGAGGTAGGTGTGAAGCCTTAGTGTGTATGGCTGCTTGCTTAATATTTGTGATAGATGATGTTCATGTAATTTGATCTTTTTCAGATGTTGAACATACTGTGTAACATTTTTTTGCATATAGGATCAATAGATTACTTTTTATTTGTTTGTTCTCCTTTTACACAGTTTACTAATAGGTCTATGTGTGTGTTTTGATGCAGATCCTTAGAGTTGGGAATCCAGAAGTCAGTTCCTGGCAGGAGATAGAAAAGATGTCTGAGGAGGAGCCTGCAGTTCTGCTTCAGATGTTGCTCCAGAAGAAACAGTTCAAGTTGGGTGTCCAGTGGGCTGAGCACCACAATGTCAGTCCCGAACTGCGCCGACTGGTTGACCAGAGTTACCTGATGTCTGTCCTGGACAAGACGAACCCAGAATATGGCACAGCTCTGGAGGCTCTTCATGCTCTGAGCTCCAATGATTTGGTCATTGTTATACAAGCTCTTCTGGATAGGCTATCAAGTCCACCCACCAGAAGGTTCTTGATTGAGTTCTTGCTGAAGACACAATTCACATCTGAAGCCGTTACCTTGTGCAAGGGCAACAACGAGCTCCCTGGAAAGGAGGATGAAGAGGGTATCACTCCTAGTACAGTTCCACCATCCATTGCCCTTCCAAATCTCAGTGATCTGCAACAGGAGGTCATGGGATTGATTTTAGTGGAGGACATTGCTCCCCATGCAGATGACAGGTTCCAGTTGAGCCACTTGGCATCCACCCCACATCTCATCATTGAACAGTGGCTAATGAACATCAAACTAGAAGCTGTGGAGAAAGCTATAAAGACCCTTAGCCAGCATTTGGATTTGGTAGACTCTAGAATGTCTTCCAGCATTCACTCGCAGGATTTTGGTATCTCGAGTCTGTGCAAGGAGGCTGGAGTTCAAAAGAGAGAGCCACAGTCATTAAGCTGGGATGTTCTGAACTGGCTGCTTGAGGCTTATGCAGCTAAGGCTTTGGATACCACGGGTGTGCAAGTCACGCTGAAACCACAGACTCTGAACGAGAATGTCCCAAAGAAGTTTGTGATGCCAGCCAGGCCTCCCGAGAGACATGAGTGGATTCCAGATGCTGAAGTGAGAGAATGCCCCATCTGCAGAGTTGCCGTCTTCTCTATGTTTTGTAGGAGACATCACTGCCGAAGATGTGGTCGTGTTGTCTGTGGCTCGTGCTCTAAAGCCAGGATTGTTGTTCAGGGCTATGGAGACTTGCAAGTAAGAGTTTGTATAGAGTGCTACCAGCAGACCAAAAATCTGAATCTTGAGGATTATATTCAGGTAAGGCCACTCGGAGATGGGACCTATGACACTGTGTCTCAGAGTTCAGAGGGCTTGGTGAGTGCCAGAGGAGGGGGAGGATCTTCCTGCACCAGTGACACAGAAGGGGGCTGGTACCTCTCCACTGACCCCGATCACAATGCTCTTGTCCGCCAGGAATTCTGCTATGACTATGCACCTTCACTCAGCCTGTGTCTTGCTATCCTGGCACAGCACCAAGACCACAAAAGAGCAGCTGTTTGTATTGTGAAGCTGTGTCATCACTTGTTTTCCCTTATTGTTTCTTCCATCAAGTCTGCTAGTCCTGAGGTAGACAACACTTTTGTGCTTTCAATGATTCAGACGTTACTAGCCTCATCAAAGGTGCGATTTGGGAACATAGGTGAGCATCAGGGAATAGCTCTCTGTGAATACTATACCCAGTGGGTGGACTTGATCGCTCTCCTGTCAAAAGCCAACTGCGGCTACATAATTCCTATTCCATCTTTACAGAACATGCTCCAAATTGGAGAACTGCACAGAAAGAATTTAATGGGAGAGGAAAAATTAAAGGAAAAATTGGAGAGGTGCTTGCAGCAGGAATTTGTACACATGAGACACCTCCGTGACATGCTGGTGAAGAAACAGCTGTGGGAATTGGCTCTGAATATTAGCACTAAGGCTGGTTTAGAGGCAACAGGTGTCTGGGGTGCATGGGCTATGGCATCACTCAAAGCTGGAGATTTCCCAGGAGCAAGAGAACGCTTTTCCCGGGTTCTGGAAAGGCCATTTGATAAGAGAAGGCCCTGTAGGTCCTCTTTATTGCCAGAAGTCATAAAGTACCTGGAGAGCAACCCATTCTCTGTGGACCAGAAGGTGATGGAGCAGGCAGAAAGAGCGCGAGCTACCATCATGATGAATGACCAGTCGAGACTGCCTCCATCACAAGCTCTTGTTGTTCTCCACTCTTTACAAGAGCTTAATGGTATTTCTAATGGGCTGCTTACCAACAGAGAGAGCAATAAGCAGATATTCTCTAGTCATAGAACTAAAAAGAAGAATAATTCCAAAATGGATTCTTTGTTCCAAACTGAATGCAAGTATTACTTGTGTTTGTATGGAAATCACTGTATGACCATCCAGTATTTCATGAGGAATAAACAGATGCAGGAATGTGTGAATTATCTTCTGAGTGAAGAAATTGAGGTTGATCTCTTTGTGCATGAAGTGCTAGTACCTATTTTAAGATGTGGACAGTTAGACATGCTGTTGAGAAACTTCAGAGCCATAGACCCCAAACAGGAAAAATGGGCGAAGTACATGCTTGGAGGCTGTCGGTGGTTGGAGCGCCAAGGATGGTGGAATTCCCTCTTAGCTGTTCAGGAGGCACTAGGGGATAGACTGAGAGCTGCAATGACTCTTCTTCGAATGTACAGCCACGCAGTAGACAGTTACAATGGATTAGCCAATAGAGTTCACCATCTGCTTGCAGCAAAGTCACATCTCCAGGCTTATCTTGATACACAGGCCTTACACCAGTCCAGCGCCAAAAAAAAGAAAATCATACTAAACATGTCAGGATGGCAGGTAAATCAGCACATCAATACACTAACACTGCAAGCAGATGTTACAAAGTTTCTAGCTAACTGTGAGGCAAAGGGAAATGTGCTTTGTTCTTTGTTGCACAATCTCCACAAATTGAAAGTCCTTGGAAACATAAGTTTGCCCACGTTGCTTGGGGACGAAGAAGAGCGTTTAGCTGTAGCCTCTCTTGCTATATGCGGTGCTCAGAGTGTCGCAGATGGACTGAGCTTGGCGTATCGTGTGGTGGAGGGCAGTGGCATATCTGCAGAGAAATTGCTGTCAGTCGTTAGTCAGCTACTAGTAGCGCATGAGCAGTACAGCACAGTGGGACAGGTTGTCCGTGGCATGCAAGAGTGGGGGGTGTTAAAAGCAAAAACTATAGATATTGCTCTACAGCCAGCACTGTTGGCCACAGCAAGCAGCACCCAGAACACTCATCTAGATGCCCTGGTCAAACTTCTTTCAAGTGACAGTGCAAAGGTATGCCCCTTTTTTTTTCTCTCTGAATTATGTTGTGTTGCTTTTTTTTTTTTTTATCCCTTTTTGGTTTGTGATATAGTTTCTTTGGATTAGTTTTGTGACATAACATGATGAAATAAAAAGCAAAGCCTTATGCATCTGATTATTAGTTAAAATATACTAATTACTGTTATAAAAAGAATTATCAGCTTCATAATAAATTACCCCATCAAAGATAAAGATAACAACTCACATTTGGAACTAAATAGAAAAGAGTATCCCTACTGACATATATAATTTCTACCCCACCTGTCCCTCAGATCGAAGCATACATCAAGTGTGGTCGTCTAAAGTCCGCATACCTGGTAGCAGTGCACCGTGGCAGACACGAGGACGTCGTGAAGGTGCAGGAAGTGGCAAAGTCAAACGGCCAAGCACATGTAGCCACTATGTGTAGTAAGTGGTTGGCCAACTATGAAAATCGCGTCAGTGCTCGAATGTAACAATTTTTTCTTCCTTTCTTTCTTTATGAATACCGATTATGTATTTTGATTTTTACTTGTTTTTTTTTTCACTAGTTTTGATTAATATTCATAGGTTAGAAGGATACTTTTAAGAATTGTAAACACCCAAGTCATATGTATTTCAAATTTATTTTCATGGTATATGTTTAAATAATACTTGTTTTATCTTTAAATGTGATAAGAATACTTGTCAGTAAGGATAACTTGTCATGCGTTTTTCTTTTGCAAATTGTTGCCAAATTTATGATCTTGAAAGAGATGAACTTATCCTCCTTGTATGGAATATGTTTTATGCATATTATTTAATGTATTTTGTATCTGTAGCCAAGGATTTTCATCTGTACCCGTTAGATAGTTTTAAGTATTATGATTGATCTAGAAGATCTTGAACCAAAAAAATAAATGCTCAGCTTATATTAAGCTTATTATAGTCTTGTTGCAAAAGTCGTAATTGTTGATGATTATGCTATCATTCCACTTTTCAAAAGTAATACCAAGATCTTATTACAGTGATAATACTTTTATTTTCTGCCTAATTTCCATATCTAGAAATAAGCTAGGAGTTTTTATTTACAATGTGGATATTGAGGTATAGTGTATTTTCATCTTTTTTTCTTATACCATAGAAGTAAGGTAACTTTTCGTATATATATTTATCATCCTCTTTTTATTCATTTACACCTTTTTGTATTGATTTTATTTTTTTAGGAAGGAACAGGGTAAATGATAGGTAATTTCTTTTTTTTTTTTTTTCATTTTCTTTCTAAGCATAGTAAAACTAGCTGTAAGTAATGATCCTGTAATGAAAAAGAAACAATACATGCCTTTCTCTCTCTCTCTCTCTCTCTCTCTCTCTCTCTCTCTCTCTCTCTCTCTCTCTCTCTCTCTCTCTCTCTCTCTCTCTCTCTCTCTCTCTCTCTCTCTCTCGTTCTCTCTCTCTCTCTCTCCTTCTCTCTCCTTCTCTCTCCTTCTCTCTCTCTCTCTCTTTCTCTCTTTCTCTCTCTTTTCCCTCTCTGTCTGTCTCTTTTCCCTCTCTGTCTGTCTCTTTCTCTCTCTCTCTCTTTCTCTCTCTCTCTCTTTCTCTCTCTCTCTCTTTCTCTCTCTCTCTCTCTCTCTCTTCTCTCTCTCTCTCTCTCTTTCTCCTTCTCTCTCTCTTCTCTTCTCTTTCTCTCTCTCTTTCCTCTCTCTCTCTCTCTCTCTCTCTCTCTCTTCTCTCTCTCTCTCTCTCTCTCTCTCTCTCTCTCTCTCTCTCTCTCTCTCTCTCGTCATCTCTCTCTCTCTCTCTCTCTCTCTCTCTCTCTCTCTCTCTCTCTTTCTCTTTCTCTCTCCTTTTGTTCCTGGTGCTGTGTTATGTGCTTTAGTTAACTTTATGACATTTGGGTCTAAGGCTGTCTGAGTATTGTTAACTCTCTCTCTCTCTCTCTCTCTCTCTCTCTCTCTCTCTCTCTCTCTCTCTGTTCCTGGTGCTGTCTAAGGCTGTCTGAGTATTGTTAACATGGCTTTTGTACAATTTGCCCAGAGGTGGAGGGCCAAAGACATTAAAATGATGCTGATGATCATTATTTTTTTTCTTTTTCTTTTCTTTTCTTTCCTTCTTTCTTCTATGATCTTCTTATTCTTTTTCTTTTTATTATTATTCTTCATCTTTGTCATCTTCATCTGTTTCTTCCTCTTTGTCACTTCTTCCTCCTCTTTATCATCATCTTCTTCTTCTTCTTCTTCTTCTTTTTCTTCTCCAAAATGACAGTTTTTCTAGCATATGAAGTCTACTGAGCAATAGAGGTGTATTGATTGTAAACACATAAATAATTTTACAAAATTTATGTGTGGTGAT